TTTAATCTGTGACTGTCATGTTATGAATGTGGATAGACAACATTTGAAAGGTTATAAAAACAAAAGGATTTAAAACTGGTCAATCTGTTATTTGACTCTTTAATGAGTCATCTCATCTGAGCGGTTGTTCTTGTGTTCAGGACTTTGATTTGTAAATACTACATGTTTTTAAAATTGAATTTAGGCATTTTTCCCCTCTGGAGTTTATCAGAAACATAATGCGCTCACATTATTGGTCGGGTTTGTTAACCTCTACAGGGGGACCTGTGAAGCTGTCATTTGAGCCCTCTCTGAAACTGAAGGACGTGCAGAGTGACAACAAAGGAGTGACTGAAGGCGAGTATGAGCCCACTGACTGCACAGCGAGGCAGAGCGTAGCAATCCTCATCCCTCATCGCAGCAGAGAGAGACACCTCCTCTACCTCTTGCACCACCTGCACCCCTTTCTGCAGAGGCAGCAGCTACACTACGCCATTTATGTCATCCAGCAGGTATTGCTCCACGTCATGCACAGTCAGTCAGTTGATCTTGAGAGTATTGGTTTAGCATATCAGGGAACTGCAGTTGTAAGAATTATTCCTTATGTTTTGTATTAGTTATTCGTATTGGTAAATGATATAGTTGTAGTTGTAATTCAGTCTTGCTAAAACTCCCCTGAACGCAACTGCACCTAAAGAGCACACTCAGTCACAAAGAGCAACTTTAAGTGAAGAACTATTATGTAAAATGAATGTGTACCGGTAACTTTATTTCATTACTTCAGAGTTATTCTTTCAAATGCCAAAACTGACAAAAAACTACCAAGGAAACTAAAACAACAGGCCAGTAGGTTTTTATATGAGTGCAACACTACTGGAGACATCAAATTTGTAGCACTTTCAAAGACTTTATGAAAGTAACACGTCATGCTCAGTGACACACAAAAAACACTGAAATTGCGGCTAGAATTAAAGAAACTAGTGACGCGAAACACTTCCTCATGCCAAATTCAAGTCATCCGCAACCAAATAATGTCCTATAATACAGTACACAAAGAACAAAAGGATTAGGATCAGTAACTAGAAGGCAAACCGCCCAACAGGCAAATACTGTACGAGCACTGGTTTTAATTATTCGCTTGTAGTTTGAATGCAGTGCTCACACACTTGTAGATGAAAAAGTTTTTTACCAGCCTTAATAATACATTGCCTTTTGTGTCACATATACATTAGTTTCGGTGCTTTTCATTGAGATAATATGGTCAACAGTGCCGCTAAACTAGGAGCACTTAATGCGGTTCAGATGCGCGTAAGAACACGTGGTCGTGTGTGTTTTGTGTGTCAAACTCCAACCGAGACAGCAGAGGACAGAAGCAGCGCGCCTGTAAATAACTCTAAAACGCGTTTGAGACTCTCAGCCTAGTTTTTTATTACATAACTATTTTGGTACATAACATTTACCCTCCAGTGTAGCGGATAGCCTTCCGAGATTTAGTCTCCATACGGAAAATCGAGCCGCATTTGGCGCTTGCCGTGTGTACAGCCACATTTACCCAGATGAGTTTCTTCTCTGCCTTAATTGTTTAAAATGTTTTATAATGTTTTGGTTCCTATGTGCTCATCTGGTTTCATACTGAGTCAGTGTCTGGTTTTCATGGTGGCTACTAAATCACAATAACAATCTCCTTCAGATTCACTTACTAAGCACTCCATTTCCCTATAATAGCCTGAATATGATGATGCCACTGTAACAATGAAAGTTGTTCTATAACTGACCTACCCAAGTAGCATTAAATCATTTCTCTGAGCTGCAGCTGTTCTGTATTTGACCCTTTACTTCAACCCTCCTACCTATTAACATTTTTTAATGTCTGAAGCATAATGACACACCAGATACAACAGCAGAACACAGCCAACACTTCTTCAACTACAGCTTGTACGTAGACCATAAAGGACAATAAAATAATGTGTTTTTTATTTGTTTTTCCTTTTTCTGAAGGCTGGTGATGCAACTTTTAACCGTGCCAAGTTACTGAATGTCGGGTATTTGGAGGCACTGAAGGACTACAATTGGGAGTGCTTCATCTTCCACGATGTGGACCTGGTTCCCGAAAATGATCATAATTTATACGTCTGTGACAAGCAGCCCAAACACTTGGTGGTTGGCCGGAACGCCACAGGGTACAAGTAAGTATATGATTATGGACTAAATTCCTTTAAGTGCAGCGCAGTATTAACAGATGGCAGCCTCCTCAGGCCTGATATCATCCTGAAAGCTCTGATATAATCTTTAAACAAAGAACCGTCTTTTTTCTGATATTCTTCAGGCTGCGTTACAAAGGCTACTTTGGAGGAGTCACTGCAATGACCAAAGACCAGTTCCTGCAAGTGAATGGATTCTCAAACATTTACTGGGGTTGGGGAGGAGAAGATGATGACCTTCGCATCAGGTGAGACAGAAATAAAGTATTTAAGATTATTTGTGTTTCTTTTTATCACATCTGGAGTGGATGTGGTTTTTATTCCTTCACTCGTTCACTGACACACGTGGGTCCGTTGTCTGCTGCAGGGTTGAGCTGCAGAAAATGAAGATTATAAGGCCGCCTGCTGATGTAGCTCGCTATACCATGGTGTTTCACAAACGGGACAGTGGCAATGAAATAAACAAAGACAGGTCAGTAAATGCAGAGATAATGTGTGTATTATTGGTCCATTAAATGTGTGCATTCTGGTTTGTGAAGCAAATGAAATCTCTTCAATAAACCTTTATTTTGCTTCCCAGGATGAGGTTGTTAGGACGAACGGCGCAGGTATGGAGAAGGGATGGACTCAACAGCTGCTCATACAAGACGTTGTCATTAGAGAGGCAGCCTCTTTATGTGAATGTTACTGTGGACATTGGTAAACCACAGAGTTGAAATTTCCTGCTGGGACCAAAAAACATTTTATGATCTATTTTATACGGTATGTACAGGCCATTGAGGGCAGAGGAGCGACTACATGTGTACAAGATACCATATAAAGCACACAAAATGCACATTGTTTTTGTAGTTTACATATTAAAATTAAGTTCAGCTGGCAACTACATATTTGCACATTTTTGCATATCATGCTGCCTTCATTTCTTTATGTTGTTTCCAGCCTGCAAAAAACCAAAACAGATTGTGTTTGGTCAAAGAAATTAATAATATAATAATAATGTTAATAATATTAAATATTCCTGATACCTAAAATGTTTTGCTAAATCATCCAGCTGTCAGACAGCGATTTATTTATGCACATGCCTTATGATTTTCCTGCACAGCCCACATGGACAGTGTGTATTTTGTGTGCTTCGTTCAGTGGATGCGTTGATTTTCTGAAAGCCCCTACAGAAACTGGTGTTGTCACTTTTTTTGCCTAATAGACGCGTTGCACAGCAGACAATTTGACTTGTCAAAGCCAGCAAAACACAGGTGAACGGCTCTGTTCCCGATAACAGTGAAGATGTACCAGCATGCACAACAGCAGGAGTGGAATCATCAATATCATTAACACACCTGTTCTGTGACATGTCTTAATGTCTGCTGTGCAACCAGTCCATTAGACCTTCGTCTCAGGACCGTCTGGGAGGTATAGACTGTGACTGATTGAATGATTGATCGAGTGATGGGAGCCTATAAGATTAAGTTAATGTTTAGGTTAGATTCGAGCTTGGACTCTTCAAGGCCAAGGGCAGAAGGACAAAACAAACTAACAGAAACAGAGCCTTGGTATACTTTTAGCTTACCAGTTTTTGGCATTCTACAATAGCCTATAAAAAGTAATCAACGTGAATATATTAATAAAATCTTGGTAGATAGCTGAGGTCTTATCTAAAACTGGCTTTAATTGCAGAACTTGAATCAAATATTCTTTTTTGGGCCATTTTCGCCTCTGTTGGACAGTTTGGACAGAAGAGAGGGAAATGTGGGGAGAGGGAGGGTAAATTACACGCAACATAGGTCGCCGGCTGGACTTGAACCAGTGGCGTTGCTGTTACGTGGTGTATGTGGTAACCAAGTCACTCTAAGAACCTTAACTGTCTTTGGTTTAACAATGTTTGTGTCTTGAAAAGTACTTTTGTGAGCCATTATGATAAGGAATGATTTTTTACACTGCACGTTCTTCTTAGGCCTTACATGCTTGATTTTTAAGCAGGAAATAGTGGGTGACGGATGCTTATTTATTACTTTAACATTTATAAACGGGGTCTAATGAGATTAATCAATATAACTTTTTCTAACTATTGTGTGTGAAGAAAAAAACATTATTATACTTTGATCATTGCATGCTGCTTAGAAATGTGTCTCTGACTCATATCAAATGTGTCATAAATTGTTTTTTAAACTTCATTTATATTTTGAAGGAAGTATAGCTACTGGTTTGTTAACCATTCCGTATGTTTTGTCTTTAGTTATCTTACCAGCAAATCCTACTTCTTACTAAACTGAGCAATATTACTAACGATAATGACAAACATGGTTGTAGTTTACTTGAGCCACTCCTCATTATATATTCATATTCATAAATGCAGTATGCTGTAGTCAATGAGAGTTAGCGTTGTTATATACATATTAAAAACCAGAGTACAGGTTTTTTCTCTTTATTTGAATATGTACGCCATACGACCCGAATGAATTTCAAAGCGATGCCATATTAACTCTTTGGGAATGTCACTTGGTGGATTTATTTTGAATGTTTGTATGTTGATTTGGAATGTTTTGTTTGTGTTGATGGGAGATTTCACTTCTAATTGGATATCTTCTCTTTAGAACGTGTAATAAATAATATTTTTCTTATGAATTGTCTTGTGGTTTTATGTGTTTGAGGACAACAATCAACAGTTTTGTCACTACACTTAGATATGCACCTCAGTATCGCAGTGTATCAGGAGTCCACAAGGAACTGACTGCAACAAAAACTGTAATTGGGATAATTAAATCATTACGATCTTTGAGGGAATTTAGCTTTTGTTTTTCTATCTGGCATATATTGGTGGTACTAATGGGTACAATGAGATATTTGTTTTTTATTCTGTGATATACCTGGCTGCTCGTAGCTTGTGTTCTGGCCTGGCTCCGAGACCACAGCAAATAAGGAAAGCACTGCCATGTGATTAACTAAAAGAAATTAAACAGACATCAATTTTGTTCAACAAATGTAAACAAACAATCTAACGAATGAGAATGCAGGGAATCGTACTGCCAGGCTAACTAAAATAAAACAAAAACTACAGAAAATCAAAAACCCTAACGCAGCACAAGGTGTTGAGGGAGCCGCAACACTACAGGATGGGATGGATCTCGTGAGACAGTGGCTAAAGTGAAACAAACAGAGGACACAGCATAGCAGAGGCAGTCTAACTTGTTATAACGTTTATATCCTCATATTTGATGCAGATTCCAACCGCACTTGACACACCTTGTTAGAAGCCACGCTGCCCAACTTTTCCAATCCCTTCCTATGAATGGTTTTAGGTTCAAACAAACCCCATGTAACAGCTCCTCTCTGTGTATTTAGAATTCCATAAATAATTCACTGTATTACTAACATGTTACACCACCAAGCCAGCCTGCAGTGCATCAATCTGACCACAGGGGGTCCTTGAGAGCATAATATCCACTATTGGAAAAATCTCTTGAGTGAGGTCTCTTGTCCCTGTTATTTACCTAAAGGTTGCTTTTATCGCCTTAATGCATCATGATAACAACCTTGTTTGGTTGAAAATGTGGGAAGATGTTTAACACAGCACAAGTGTGGACCATATATATAAAAAAGTAATGTTCTGAGTTTTATATGTTGCCAGTTTCAGATGTGGTTCAATTGAATACTGTAAATTACATGGTCAATCACATTAGCTGCTCACATTCCTGTAAAAAGCAGTTTAGTCCCTCCATGACACATTGTTGGTGAGAGGAGTGGTACTGGGTGTGAATATAGACTATGGTAACATGAACTGCCCAGTCCCATACCTCAAATATACCACTGAGGGCAGGTGGAATATTGTTTAACAGTTGAGTTTTATCTTTGCGCAGTGGTTCAGTTTTATTTATTTGTTGTCGTGCAGTAACCACATTAAGTGTTTCTCTCAAGTTTATGTAGCTTGGGAATACATTATGTTGTTGGTTTCTAGTGATGCACCGATTTATAAGACAAGATTCACTGCCATCTGCTAGGTGCCAAACATCTGTATCAGCCGATATTCGCCTTGTTGACTCCCATCAGCCTATCGGGAAATAAGGTGGCTGATGATCGGTGTATCCCTAGGTTTCCTTAACAGACAGCGACACACACAAGGTAATTATTGAGGTATTGCTTATCGAACTGAAATAGGAAGACATGACAAGTGTAAGTGCACGTTTACCACTTAAAGCCAGGAAAACACCAGCACACCAGTGTCTGTGCTGTGACCTGAGTTGATGGCTATAAAATTTATTAAACCTGTCCGATTTCCATCTTGAGGTTTGCAATGTTCACAATATTAATGAGACAGTCCTATCTGAGTAACATGAACTTATTTTAAAATGTATTATCTTCACTTTTAAATCAACAAGATTTTATATATAAGGAAGATCTTGTGTTTCACTCTGTGGCATTTAGCTAACACAAAGACGTTCCATCACTCTGAGGACTTGAAGGACATGTACTAAAAGTTAGAACACGAGACTTAAAAATTCAGATACAATGAAATGTCTTCTTTTTTTTTTCTCCCAGTGCAAAGAAAGAGCGGGGTGTCTGAGTCTTTGTATGGACAGAATGATGTCATCTCCTCTTCCTATGGTGCAGAAAGAAAGCTTTGTCTTGTTGAGGGGCGGCCCGGTTATGTAGATTACATGTGACTTTCACGAAACACTTTTAGCACAAAAATATAAATTCTGAAAGTCAGAACACTATGATCTACTCTACAACTACTCCATTCACATATGTTAAAAGAATGTCAGCGGTGCCTACGGTGTCTACTGTGTACTTCCTGCTTGTTAATACGCTTGTGTGAGTGCTAGAGTGCAAGAATTCACCAGTGGGATGTTCATATCTTTACTAACAGCACAGAGCAATCATTTATGGAAAAGTGATACCTCAGAGCTTTAGATTAATTATAAAATCTAGACTTGATTGTCCAAAAGTGAGTCCACACGTTATTTAACTATTGGATGGAAAGTAATTCATGTTTTTAGTGATTAAAATCATGGCTGACAGTGTCTTATTATTTCATTGCAGCTCAGTGGTACCTCTGTATAGCACATTGGTACAGCATGAAGATCTAGGGTCCCTTCTGTGTGGAGCTTGTGCAAGTTTCCTCTGGGTGTTCCAGTTTTCTCCCACAGTTCAAAGTCATGCAGGTCAGGTGAATTGAAAACCCTACAGAGCCTGCAGATGTGAATATTTGTGTGTGTGTGTGTGTGTGTGTGTGTTATCAGTCACATTTGCTGGAATACACTCCCCCATTATCTTGAATAGGAATAAGCAGCTGCTTCAGATGGATGGATGCAGTGCTTAATCTCTTAACAGATAAGGTTTTTCTCAACCCCCCTCCCAAAAAACATGAATAACTTACAGGAATTCTTAACTAGAATACTTAAAGCTGTTATAACTCATATTTTTATATGAACAAAGGCTCACATGTCTACTTGCAGGTAAGAGGGGTCGCTGGTACCGAATAATCCACATAGAATAATCACCTGACTCTCCTCCCAGCCTGCAACTTTGCTGTTTTGGTTCATTCACGCTGCTCTTGTCAGTGTCCTTCTGTCCACTACCTGCCCAGCATTAAACATCAGAAGGACAATGTTAGCGATTAGCTGGTGAACATAGTGGAGCTTTTAGCAGCTAAAGAGCCAGATATTTCCCTCAGGAGTTGGTGGAGACCAAAAACAGAACTAAAATAGAGGTCATTCATCATATGGAGACTAACACAGCTGCAGTGTGGCTGCTCTAACCTATTAACATGGGCGCCTAAATAAAAAGCAAGATGTAATTCAATGCACATGCGCTGCAGGTTCGTGCTGTGTGGAACGGGCTCTTTAGGTCGAAATGTGAATTGGTAACCATAATTGCTGCGTCTAAGTCTGCAAATGTGACACTTTCTATCTTGCATTAGTGGTATGAGATCAAAAGCACTGGCACCTGCTTTCACGTCTTCAGTGGGAACAAAATAATTCAGCCTGTGGCAAACAGTTATGTGTATGCCAGTCACCTTTGTTATTCATAATCTGTTGGTGGTTTCTGTGGTTCCAGAGACAAACCAAGTTTGCAGCAGACATGTAAAAGCTAATTTGACACGCTGTTTGCTTCAGTTCTTGTGTCAAATTTTAATTTTAAATAACAGTCCCGAATGCAGTAAATTACTGTAGTTAGTGGTTCAACAGGGGTAGATATACTGCAAGAACAAATTAAATGTTAAAATATCTCCTCAGGGAAAGTTCAGTAGTTTACAGCTGTAACATTTCAAACCTCAGTGGAATGGGATTCTGGTTTTAGGATCTGTAATTTTCCATGTGAAACTGTTACAAGGCTACAAATATGACGAATATGTCATCACTACCCAGGGAGTTTTCATGATCTTTCTCTAGGGAATGCAGGGATGTAATTGGATTACATTAACTTAAGACGGGAAGTAGCAAAGATACTTGCTGGATGAAAACATGATTTTATTTACATTATTGTCAATTCTGTACATTTAATGCATTCATTCATTATATCTTTGCAATAAAGTGGCAGCGCAGTTTGAAAAAGAAAAACATGAAATGCATAGCAGTCAGTAACAAGAACCATGTGTGTCGTCCATCTCCTCACTCCAACTCCCCCCCACCTCCCCAATCTCCCCCCATTTCCCATCTGTGCCCTTCAGGCCCTCACTTCAGTCACCTCCCACTTCCCTCTTCCTTCAGAACCCGTCTGTTTTTGTTTTCGAGCCCAGGCTCTTTGCACAGGAAATTGTATACATTGGGAGCATTCAGGAAGGCAGAGAGCAGCTTTCCCGTTAGCTCCGAGTTTGGGCACACCAAAAAAATGGATAAAAGAGGTCAGTAATTCCTAAACCAGGAGAGAAACAGAAGTCAGCTGTTCTCCTCCCCTCACTTCACTTCCCTCCCCTTTATACAGTCTCAACATTTAAAAAATCCCTGCCACACCACTGCCACGAGTCCATCTCTAAACATAGAATATTTGAAAAATCTCAAAGTGGAAATCAGATAAAAAACAAAAACAAAACTAATGTTCCTGAAAGGGTTTTGCCTCTCTTGGTACATGTATGCTTCCTCAGCTACAGAGAAGCCAGTGAAAAGGGGAGACTGTGTGGAATGAAGGAAAAGAGGAGGAGATAAAAAAGGAGCAGAGAGAGACTGGCTGGGGGTAAAAAAACAACAGGAAACCAACCGATTCTAATGCTGTTTCTGCAAATCCTTCAGAGATAAAGCAGCCGCATGCCACGTCCTGGCGAAGCAGCAGCCACACCATGTCTTTTCTTTGCTCATCATCTGAAGTAAAGACAATTTAAAGGACTTAATGTTCAAAATGTGACGTCACTTCTGCTCTCAGCCTCCAACCGTGTGGTTAGTCAGAATGTGAGCGGATGCAGACTTTTGGGAGCTGATTGCTGGGATTTCTATGTGGCTGGTTCTTTGACCTACAAACTCAACCTTTCTCAGGGTCATATGGATCGATCGCTGTGCTTCCAAGGATCTGTTTGTTTTAATTATCTGGACTACTAACTGGAGCCACATGAAGAACAAAGGGACTAAGCAAAAGACCAAAAAAAAAGGAAGTGAAAATGCGTTCGGCTGTGACCTGATAGAACATCTCCAGAATTCAGGACAAGATGGTAAACTTTTTATTTTGTTTTCTTTGAAATCTAACACTCCTTTACAAGCAGCCATCATCAAACTACACACTGATTCTGCCAACAGTTACTTGACTCATACATAGAGTATAACATTTATGCTGAAATTTGAGCTTAATTAGTCATTTCCTAGATTATTATAGCTACTATAACCTTTTACAGACACATTATGTGGTGAAATGTTGACGAAAAAGGACAGAAAAAGTGTCTTTATGTAACAAATACAGGCTTTGTTCAAAGTGTGTCACATATATGAATTACAGGTATACATGTGTTTTACATTTAGTAAGGCCATTCATTCACCCATTGGCTGTATTAAATGGTCATTTGTGACTCTGGGTGTGGCTCTTACATTTTTTGTGTCAATTTCCTACGGTGACTATAGTTCCTATGACTAGTTTTGTGTCTGACAAAAGACTGGGCGGTGCTGCTGCCTATGGATGGGAGAAAATAATGAGCCATGAAAAAAAAAAGAATAGAAACTAAATGTATAATCAAATATTCAAATATGTGGTCAGGATTGTTTAAGAGGATTCTTTTATTACTTTATCCCCTATCTTTCTTCTTATCATATGCCTTGTTCTCCTTTCTTACAACCATCATCTGTGGGTTGTTGGTTTTTTTTTTTGGCAGTAGCATGATGTGTCAAAAAAGACCAGCAGAATTCTCCCACGTGCAGAGGCATATGAATAGCTGTGTTGAGGATAACTGTAAGGGAGACCTGTTCGAGTGGACACTCTGTAAGGCGGGGCATTCAGGGCAGGAAGTGAGGGAGGAGGTTTGGGTCGTACCCCTCCGTCATGGACGTCCTGAAGACGTATTGTGTTTTTAGATTGTTACTCCACTACTTTGCTTTTTAATGAAAGTAACTGAATACTACAGGAAGCTACTGACAAACTAACAGAGACACAAAGCAGATGTTAAATTTAGAAATAGTGACCAACAAAAACCTTTTGCAGGGTATTAAAGTGTACCTGATGTGACACAATCCACCTCAGTGTTATACTGAATTTATTTGTTTTACCCAGCTGACAATAATAAAGGGTGCACACTTATACACTCACAATCTCTTGATATTCATGAGAGAACCTTCACACTTGTAAGATTAAACATTGTTATATCTAAAATAATAATTAGCAGTTGGGAGTGATTAATAAAAACTCTCGTCATTGGAAGTCTACGTTGGATGTAAAAAGGGTTTGAAACTCACATTTTCTGTCTCACGCAGACAAAAGTAGTCATGCTTATGTAGTTCCGTTAGTTGTTTATAACATTTGTGTCATGTTGTTATTGTAAAACCACAGTAATTTCAGAAAAGCAACCCTCCAAACATGTCTTCTGGAGAAGGGGAGTGTTGCCCTGAACCTTTTTAAAGTCAACATACAACAATGTTACGGTAATTGCGTTCATAAAACCTGACAAAAAGAGAGAGACTAGAGCTTTTAAGGGTTGTTTAAAGCCAGCCACTGAGCTGCAGCTGCAGTTTTACTGTTTAATGGGACATTTAACATTAGTGGAGAAACAAATTACTTGACTCTGTTGACTGTGTTGAGGCTCACTCAAACTGTAACTAGACATTTGCCTCGCCACACTTCATGCATTCATTCAACTTCCTTTGTAAACATAAAGTATCTTTGTAAATGAGTCGAACATCTAACTGTATTTTGTTGCCAGTCTACAAGAAGCAGAAATCTTCCTTCAGTGCAGAGACTGAGAGGCACTAAATTAAGGCTTCAGAGCTGTTCATCATCCAGCGTTTGACCACAGGCATGTCACTGAAAGTCAAATTAAGTCAAAGAGATGAGAATTCAAATAGCAGATTCTTGGTGTCCGCTGTGATTACAGAAAAATTAACCATTCCTGAGTTTATACTTTCATTTTGTGGAGGGTGGATTTTGTTTGCAAAAAAAGAAGTTTTTAATTTTTTTCATCTATGAACGACTAATTATGTGATATTAATTCTTGACATCTTCTTTAAACCTGAAATACTGGAAACCTAAATCCTGATTTTCAATCAATTATCATTTTCAGTATTAGCTAAAGGGAAGTTGTGGTCATGCTGAATCAGAGCATGTGATTTAGCTCTAAAGCCGCAGTATAATCTGTTTGTTCTCATTTGTTTTAAAGCTAACACAGTTGTACACAGAAGGTGATGTACTGGTTCAGAGAGCTGTGTACTGTAGGTCAGTGGTAACATTTCAAAAGCCGTTTTCTATTAGAGGAAATGTCGTAAGTAATACCAGCTACAAGGACTGGGTGTGTCAACCTTCCTCTGAAACAAACAAACCATTTTTAACTTCCTGTCAAAGTCCACCTACAATCAGTGGCCCTAAGGAATAGAAAACAGACATAGTGGAACAAACCCTTTACCATGAAGTCAACCTTATGTGCATTGTTACCTCTGAAGCATTACATGTACAGTTGTTTCCTTCTTCTGCTTTTAAGGTTCAATATGACCATCCACTGCGCTTACGTGCGGTGTAAAAGCTTAAACAGGAGTAAAAATATGTGTTCATGCTTCTCTAACTGTACATGACTAACACGATTTCACGATCAGTTCCTCAGGTTCTGAAGAAATGTGCAGAGTTTATTGAGGAGCATGGGATTGTGGACGGGATCTACAGACTGTCGGGGGTCACCTCAAATATCCAGCGTCTCAGGTACTCATGAAACAAGTTTCATGTATAGTAATGCTTCTAAGACATCAAAAACCTCAAGAAAATATTAAACATTGGGTAATAAAAATAATAATTTTATTACAACGTTACACAATTAGGCACATTTATCACCTCTATTCACATTCTCTGTAATCACTGTTTACCTTCTCTTTGGAGGAACTGAAATTATTCAGTATAATCAAATATTATCCTTAATCATGCCCATATAAATAGGCTGGTATATTGAATTCAAATAATATTGTTTTCTTAGATTATTATTGAGCTTCTTTAACACCTTTGATGCTGTTTTCTTTCCTTTTTTTGCTATAATATTAGCTGACTAGACTCTAATCTAACAAGATTAAGAAGATCAACACATACTACAACAGTAGTTAGCATGGGTAGCATTCAGCTAACTGTGTGTTTGCGTGTGTGTGTGTTTGTGCATGCAGGCAGGAATTCAGCTCTGAGGCGTGCCCTGACCTTACAAAGGAAGTGTACCTCCAGGACATCCACTGTGTGGGTTCCTTATGTAAGCTGTACTTCAGGGAGCTACCCAATCCTCTGCTCACATATGAGCTATACAGCAAGTTCACTGTAAGTACATTCAAATCACATTTAAGTGGAAAAAAGAAAGTCTCCTAGAAAGGCCTAGAAGAGGTCCGACAGCAGTAATTTGAAACAGACAGAATTGCAACCCCAACACTAGACATCAATAAGCAGTATTGTCAGCACTATATAGACTTTATTTATTGTCATGTTTCATGAGTGTAACCTCATCTCTTTGGCTCACTATTAATCAGCAAATGATGTATTACATAATTAAACAAAAACATTCATGTTACCTCAGTATGACTTATTATCATTCAACATCTTCTCCGTTAAAAGTAGTTTTGCTGCATTATACTCATAAAAGGAGGTCCCTGCATAAACTGCTGATTGTAAGAGATCGGTTTTATCTTTTATGTGTGTATTGATCTTTCTGTTTTTTGTGTGTTACACTGTTGCCAGGCCGTTCTAGCAAATAACAATGTGTTCTGATGCACTGAAGCGTTTGATTTAAAGAAGACTTTGGACCTTTTAGATCACAGGGAGGGTTTGTAATGATGGAAGAGCAAACACTAGAATAAGTAAAAAAAATTGGGCTGACACGATCTTTACATTTAGTACCAGAGAGAAGCTTTGTGGCTGCATTTTCTGGATTAACTGCAGATGTGAAAGAGACTTTAGAGAGAAGCAGGAGAGAAAGGAACAGGAATACCAAACTGTAAGACCTGGTTTGTGCTTTCTGTGTAGCTTTCTGTGTACCTTGACGAGCCATTTGCATACCTTGGCATTCATACATCTTGTGCCGCTCGTGCCTCAAAAATTCCAGTACTCCAGTCAAAAACAGTTCCACATAATATGGCATAATATGAAAAAAACACACCAAAGACCGTTCTCACCGAATTGTTTTGGGAGAAATGAACAAAATGACAACTGAGCAAGATCCATACATTTATAGACAGGCCTAGTGCTCGATGTTGTGTGTATTATTGATTTCATTTTCACACCTGTTGTAATGTAATGTGTCATCTTGAAGTGTTTCGGCCATCAGACCTAATAGCACAAGACTGCCCAAGAGCACGTTTTAACAACAACACATGTTTACGGCCTCACCCATGACTAACAAATGCAAGCTAACATGCTCAGCTGTTTGGGCCGCAGTCACATGAATTAAGACTGCACGCACTCCAGCATGTCTGTTTACATTTGTTCAGCAGGGATAACTGGGTTAGGAGGTTAGGTAGAAGCCTGCAGGGCCATGCAGGAGGATCATAGCTTTACCCTACAGTTCATCAACACATTGATCCACTGGTAATCAAATTAAAGATGATCAGAATTTCAAGAGTGCTGCAGAGACCACGAGCACAAGAATTCAATTCATATTTGGGGTTATGTAGCAACAGATGCAGGTAAATTAGACCGTTTTCTAAACCATAACCATGAGCAGAAAATTAATAATTAATGTGACACTAGTGAGGCACAGGGATCAAGCATCCAAATATTTTATTTTTACTGATCCCAGATGTAAATTCTTTTGACATCTGTCTGATTGATATGCAGGAAGTGGTCTCGGTCCAGGGGAATCATGAGAGACTTTTACACATTCAGAGTGTCATCAAAGAACTGCCAACGCCTCACTTCAGGTGAGCTTCAGGCCTTTTTTTACTGTCAGCAGTAAAGACAATTGTACAACTGATAATCCTGTTTTATGAATAATGTTGTAATAAATGTGACAGGAAGTGTTTGTTGGCTCTTCTCAGGACTCTGGAGTACCTCACGAAGCACTTGGCCCACCTTGCCACCTTAAGCACCCAGACGAACATGCATACGCGTAACCTGGCCCTGGTCTGGGCTCCAAATCTATTAAGGTGAGTTTGGATTCACAGATGTGCTTGAAACACACCATAAAAAAACTTTTCATTTTCTTGTTACGTGCAAGAATTTCTGTAGCTGTTTTTGGAAATAAATGAAATTCTAAGGATGTCCTCATTTCTTACTTTCATCTGTTATTTTCTCAGATCTAAAGACATTGAGTCATCATCAGGTAACGGAGACATGGCTTTCCAGGAGGTGCGGATACAACAGTCAGTGGTTGAGTTTATACTAAACCACACAGAGCAGATCTTCAGCAGTGATTCTAAGCAAATCAAACCCAAAGAAGGTATGACATAAAAAAAATACAAACAGATTCTTTAATGGGAGATTTGTTGGGCTTAAGGATTTGCTAATTCACTATTGATCCACCAGGACCGAGTCTGATGTGTGGGGAGAAGTATGCCACACTCCCGATCAGTGGCCAGTGTGGGCCGATGAAACTGATGAGTCTGGAAGAAGCCCAGGCCCGCTCCTTAAGTCCAAACCATCCTGTGCATAGAGAACGTCAGCGGGAGAACAGCCTGCCTGATACCAGCACCGCCACATTCTACCACACTGTCATAGACATAGACAGCAAGTATGACAGACTAGGGTTCAGTGCATTAAGCTATTATGGGTATAATTTGCAAAGAGTGTGCTTTGAGTGTTGATTCACTCTGTATTTATTACTGTCAAAACAAGCTGTTGTATAGCACTGGGCTTAACAATCTCTGTTTTTCTGTTAGGAGGAAGTTTGCTGGGAAATCGAAGAAGTGGAAGTCCATCTTTAACCTGGGACGGTCTGTGGACTCGAAGGGAAAACTGAGCCGGAACGGCAGTGTGTTCATAAGAGGACCTGGGATAACAGGTAAAGTGTCCAATTTGAACACGGACAACTCACTTCGTAAGCCAAACAACAGGAAGACAGATGTGCAACATTATCATGTATAAACAGAAAGATTATTATTAAAGGACACAGATATAGTAGCTCGTAGAGCTTGGTGTTGCCAAGAGAATGAGAGTGGTGATGAGGTCATTCCTGAAGCAGGAAACAGGAAAAAAATAAATTCAGCCCCACAAAGTCATACTTACTTTTTAAGGTTTTCTTTAATATTTGCTTTTTGCTCTTTTTTTATTGTGAAATACTACACAGTGTCACCTCTTCAGGCATATAAAAATGATTATGTGAGGGAAACATTGCGTTTTAGTTAAGAAGTTTTCTTTTTTTGAGCTTTAACTTCTTTTCAAATGTTTATTGTTATTTTTCCTACAGAAAAGGCAGCTCTTCGTCCTTCCAGGAGCATGGAGTCCTTATGCTCTTTACCAACAGGTGGGGCTAAGACCTTCATTTATTCATTTAAACACAGAGAAAAAGGAATGTGATGAAAACTACAAACTTTGTTGTCTTTGCCTCGTTTTTTTGTTGACTGATATTTTTTCCCTTATGTTATTGTTGCTGTGCAGATGATGACAGAACAGGAAACAACAGTCCAGCTGGTGGCATTTTCGTTCCAGATGTGAAATCCAGAACGCTGGGATCCGACTCGCTCTATGACCTGAGTGAACACGACCAAAACTGGGACTTTAAAGGGAACAAAGCTGATGGGGCAACAGGTGGCTGGAGCTCTAGTATGACCCAAAGGGGGTCACCAGGTGCCTCTGCACCCACTCAAAAAACACTGCCAGAACAACTGAAGGTGTTCAAAGGTGATGACCTCAGCGGCTACAAGCCCACCTCTCCAAAAAACAGGAGGATGTTGTACTCAGGTTCCTCCAACACCTCCTCTCGGCCCTCCTTCCCAGGAAGCTTCTTCCCGCTGGAGTCCTCGCCGAGGCATCAGCGCAGAGCTGTTAACATATCTGAGCCCTTTGCCGTGTCTGTACCCCTGCGTGTGTCAGCTGTTATCAGCTCCAACAGCACGCCATGCAGGGGGCACGCCAAGGACAAAGCAGCTACTCTGAAACCCTGCAAAGAGAGCTCAGAGCAGAGCAGCAACAGTGGAAAGAGCAACACTTTCCCCCAACTGGAACCCAAGAAGCAGGAAGGAACAGAGAAGAAAAACACAGAGGTGCCGACCTCTAGAGTCCCGCAAGAGGGTGAGGACATCTTCCTTCATCACATTTTAAAATGGCTTGTTATGTAAATTGTTAAAGTCATATAGCCTATGTGTAATAGGATGTAATGAAAAAAACTACTCTTTTTTAAAAATTCAGATACAAGCAAAGAGGTGGTGCAAGAAGGTCAAGGAGGGGTGAATATTTCGGAACTGGAACCACCGGTCCTTGCAAATGCAAGAGAAGGCAAAGATGCAGCGCCATCTCCTGGGAAAGAACTGCACAACCAGTCCACAGCTTTGCAACTGGTAAATCATGTAGTTGTGCTTGCACTATGGTGTAATTACCATTAATTATTACCATTAATTATTATCTTTCCTTAGAGCTTAAGTTTTTACCATCAAATTAAGATAAAAAGATAAAAAAACATGTAGTTAAAGACTAAAGGTCAGCAAATAGAAGACCACATGGCAGCAATATTTGGATACCTGCTCCTTCCTTCAGGTTTATCACTGGTCCGTCCACTTGTAACCTTCAAATTAAGTCTTACTGGGATTTACAGGTGAAACTATTAGCATTGTATTTTGAATCCCAGGATTGATAGTTTCTCTTTCCCCCTGTTATTCAATTTCTAGAAAGGTAATGTGAGTGTTGAATACAGCTCAGATTTTTTGCCCACATACCTTTGGCTTAAACTAGCACATAGTTTGTTTAAGTTTGTTTGTCTTAGAGATAAACGGTGGAATCATTTTGGATATATTTAATCCTTTCTATTTTTGTTTGTTTACCATTCATACTTTCCCAGGACAAGAGATCTTCTACTGGGAAACAGATGTGGTCTGACCTCCACCAAGAACTGAAGATAACTGAACCTGAAATTGACCTGCTGGATGAGACTTTTAAACCTGTTTTTGACTCCAAGAGCACATGTGAGGTCAGGAAATTGACGATGGACGTCAAGTCAAAACGAAGCCGCAGTTCTCCGTCTCTGTCTTTGTTATTTAGGGAGCAGTCCTCAAATACCTCTCTGAGTGATCATGTAATCGCCACTGGATCAGACTCTGCAAAGAAACAGCCCTCAGAGTCAGACATCTTGTTTTCGCTTCACAAAAACACTGCTGACATGGTGGATGAGAAAGAGAAGAAGCTGCGTCTGAAAATCACGCCTTTAAACAAAGGTGACCCAGCTTCCACCAAGCAGTCCCAACGTGCTTTAAACGAAACCTGTTTAGATAAAGTTATGGACGTTTTGACGTTAGAGGATACTCCAACGGTTGAAGTCTTCTCAGGAGCAGATGATACCGGCAAAAAAACAGAGAAACGTGAAATTCCTCCAGGATTCAAAAACGTCTCCTGTGAAGGAGCAAAGAATGTGATTTCTGAGGTGGAATTGATTCAGAAGCTGTCAGTGTGTTTGGAGGAGAGACGTAACACTTTGGAGCTTCCACACCATTACAGTGATGAAGGATGTGGAGGACACTCAGAGGACTTGGACTTGGTGGAGCCTTGGGAGGATCTTAGCTCCACCAAGCAGTGGGTAACCAGTCCTCTCCACTCACCTGACGTGGAGGAGCTGTTCAACCAGCTGTCACCCTTCAGCTCTCGTGGGGAAAATCCAAGCTTGGAGGAGGGGAAGATTTCATCTCCTTCAGCTGATAATAACAAACAGTCTCTCATGAAGAGCACCGAACACCTCTCAGGAAACATTCCTCAGTCTACCAGCAGCAAACCAGAAACTAAATGGATGCTTTTGCCATCAATACCTACACGGGTCAGTGTGAACAGCAATAACACAACGCAACCTCACGCAGGAAGAAGCAGCACAACAAAACAGAAGAATACAGTGTCATCTCAGAGGTTTTACCGACAGATGTCTTATGAGGCAGCTGCTTCGGAGAAAAGAGAGGAGAATTACTTTTCTAGAAACAGACCATATTCACTGAATTTAGACCTGGGGCATCGATGCATCAGAGACATTTCTAATCAGCAGAACCGTAATTCATCAGAGTTTTCCTCTTGTCAGAGAGGGTTACTGAGCTCGTCTGGAACTGGAAACAACGGACTGTCCTCAGAGCTGGAGTTGTTTCTGAGTGATCGGCAGGCACCTCTACGCCGAAATTCAGCCCCGGTCAGCGTGTCATCGGTGCGAACAGCCTTCATGATAAAAACATGCCAGGCCAAAGCTGTGCCCGTCGTCCCTCCGAAGGTGCAGTACAGTCAGATACCTCACTCTAGACCCGAGAATGATTTTGACACAGTGAAGGAACAGGAAAAGGAATATCCTAAAATGATCGCAGAGAAAAGCAACAGCGCACCTCCTCCGATGATGTCAGATCTAAAGGAGGAGCTGGAGAATAAAGAGCCTGGAGCCGAACATCAAAAACACCCGAATGCTGAAAAATGTGCTGAGTCTGTGAGGACCACATCTACTCCAGAGCTGCCAGTCATAACCAGGAGACATGCGCCCAGTCTGGAAGTGTTTGTAGACTGTCCCAGGCCTAACAGAGGGAACATCTTACAAAGACCCTCTTTTAGGAACAGGCAGAGACCTCAAAGTCTCATCCTGCTCAGCCCTCCTTTCCCCATCATGGACTACCCACCGTCAGGAGACGACGGTAAGCTCCTGTCATCCATCAAGAACCTGAATGACACGTCAGCCGTGAACAACTTTTCTAAAGAGATGGCGGAGAATTTCAGGACATCGGACGGGATCGCTCTTCAAAACAAAATGACTATTCCAAAAAGTGGACAGAGACTGGAAACGTCAACCAGCTGCTTCTACCAGCCGCAGAGGAGATCGATGATATTTGACAGCAGGAGCCACAGGCAGATTGAGTGACTGGAGGTACAGTCACTGACTCTGACTGCGTATGTAAATAGGATACAGTATTCTTTTTTTTTATAAAACCATTATGTATTTGAGAAAGAGCTAAAGAAGCCATGACGTATGTGAAAGCCATTTAAGCTTGACTCAGATCCGGTCCTGCAACTAATGATTTTTAACATTATCCATCAATCTGCTGATTATTTTCTCGATTAGTCGATTAATTGTTTGGTCTTTAAAATATCAGAAAATAGTTAAAACAAATAGAACGATCTATTAATCGACTAATCGTTCTACCCAGTCTCACGCCAAAGCGTGTAATAGACCCGCTGATCCACTAGAGGATAACGTGCCAGTGTCACGTTTTACCTCACCAAGTAAAAGTACACACGTGCATAATGGTGCAGTATAAAGAGTCCACTTAGGGAGGTCAGGCTGGATGGACAGGACTTTCACCCCACAGGCCATTGTTAAAGTATTGTGTGAAACCAAAAGTCAATCCTGATGTCTTTTAAGTTACATACGTAGTAAGTTAATTTACATCAGGTACATAACTTAACATATGATCTTTTCCTGAGTCTAACCAAGTACTTTTGGTGCCTAAACGTAACCAAACTACAACCTCTGCAAGCTTTATTCTGAAAGTGTAACCAGACATTTATTGCATATTTATTATTGCTAACCTGACGTGTTGAAAATGTGACACTGCCACGGTGGACCGGTGCTTTGGCGGGATACCCGGTTGAAAGTGTTTCAGCTCTACTGAGGTCAATGAAGGAAACAGTTTTTAAAAGTTAGTTTCATACTCATGTCAAGTTACAGTGTGTGTGAGAAACAGATATCAAGTCTCCTCTGTCACATACAGTATGTGCGTGGTCCTACACAGTCACAGTGAATCACTGCCATAAAGGATTTAGAGCGCAGTCTCTGTGTAGCAGAGATTTGGACTGATAAAAATAGAATCTGTTAACTGAGGAAATTAGCTGCCATGGAGCATTTGTAGGACAAAGTAGCTTAACAAAATAAAAACCTTAACTCAAGATCCACCTATTAGCTTTCAGAGGTTCCAACCAAATCTCAGGGTTTCTCTCACAGTCATGGAGACAGTTCATTTAGCTCCATCCACTGAGGAAGGCTGTGAGATGCAGTTGAAATTTAAAAAGCTAGTAAGTGGACCTTAAGTTCTTTTGTTGTTGTTGTTGTTAATTCACATGGATTTGTTGTTTTAATATGTTCCCTTTTCATCCTCTCTTTCTAAAATAACTTTCTTCCAGGTTTCATTGAAGCAAAATAGTTTGTGATGGTCACTGGGAATTTGGACAAAAATGTAACCAGAAAAGTAATTTTAAAGAAACAAACACACCCAATGTGTGTAATGATGATGACATAGTTGAATTATTTGAATTTCCCGACTGTCAACAACCAGAATCCATACGACGTCAGATTACGACCTCTTCACATAAATAATCATGTATGAACTGAACTTATCCTCATTAAAGGCTCTGAATAAAGGAAGTGCACAGTGAAGGTTACCAAAAAATAAAATGCTAAACTGAAGAACTGACAATTGAACTGTTAAACAGTTTAACAGCCATAATTTGATCATGTACATGAAGACGTGTTTATTTATTCTTTTATTAACAAACTTGATACTTATAAAATATAAAATAAATAATACTGTATGTAGCTGTCCGCTCTGTGATGAGCTGATGTCAATGTGATTTTAACTAATATTTAAAAGGAAAATCCCTTTTTTGATTTAAATATATCACAAACTTAATAAAGAGTATTTACCCACAGAAGGACTTTAATTCATATGTATCTTTATTTTCTTTAATTGCTTTGTGTTTTATGGCATTTGGGTTTTTGACAGTAATGAGAACCTGTATTGTAGTAAAGAGTAAATCTCATATTATGAAAAGTAAACTGGAGGTTGACTGTGTGCACGCTGACTGTATTCAATGTGTTTGAGCTTTGATGGTGCTTTGACGGTATCTCCAGGTTTTTGTTTCTCTTCTTTGAATTTTACAAACACGGGATCTGATGTATTTACCTTTTGTGCTACTTGTGGGTGAGCAGCCCCTGAACATTGTTCGGATGTTTAAGGAGGTTACAGTTTATTTTTTAAGGATGCAGTTGTTATTGAGGTGTGACACAGTGTTTCTGTATACTGTAGTTTGGATGGACTGGATGAATGACTACAGTGTTTTATTCAAAGTGAGATATATATGTTTTTTTTATGTGTTTTGTATCTTGTGTATACTTGTTGATACTGAAAATGATTCATGTTCTCATAGGAAAAACAACTGAATGGAGAATTTTGAGATGAAAGTTTTGTCTTCATTATTAGATGACGGCACCTGATGTAATGTACATAAGAGACTCGATGAGTTCTGTTACAACAGAAAGTTATGAGAATAAAAATGTCTGACAATCAGTCGGTGGTTCTGTAACATTTGGCTTTCATTGTGTCAAGCAGGTAAAGCGGTGAGATCCAACTCACCCTCTATTCTTTGCTTAAGCATTCAAAGTTATAAGTATTCAAAGGAGTTGTAATAAAATACTGTCTGATGACTTATGATATCATATGTTACATTTAACAACATGATTTTAGATGGAGAGCCTCTCTTTTTCCTCACAGTCTTAAAAATGTCATAACTGTCACACAGTCTTTCATAAAGCAGCTCACTGAGAGGAGTAATATAAAAGAGGCTGTGGTGCTGCTGTGTGAATGAGGGGCATTCAAGGAGGGGCCCCCCGGGACCGATGGGGCCCTTCAAAGATGTGATTCTGCACCCAGTTACATGTAGTGTGGTCGAAACCTATAACAGCGTGCCTGCTTCTTTGTCTCTATTTTACAAAAATAATAATATAGAGAAAATGTTGCTTTTAACTCTTCATAAAATTGGTTCTTCTGTCAAAAGCATGGTCGTGCAGTTCCATGTTAAAGAACTGGCTCTGGTCTTTGCCACCAGATGACGCTCCTGCTCCACATTGCACATCTGAGCGAGCAGATAAACACAGACAGGCCTGCTGAAAGCGGTGAAAGTCTGCTTTGGGTAAGTGCCTCAAATACTCCTCATACACTGTGGCCGAGAAAGGGACACTCATCTTTATCTGCAGACGAAACAAAACATCACCGCTCTGCGAACCCTGCTCCAATATGTTTTGAGCCTGTGTGTTTGTGTGTGAGAGTGCGCGTGTACGCGTGGGTTGTGCGCGTAGTTTGCCTTCACCAAAGACACTTGTACTGGCCTCTATGTCCTCCTTTTCAAAATAAACCCTGACTTTACACTGCGTGGTTCCATACTGCAAAATCACAATAGAGTCAAATCCCTGCCACATTACAGGGTCATTCAGCTGCATGTCTGCTGGTTGCTGAAATACACAATAACACAATGCATTAGGCTGGATAGCACTCAAAAGTGGTGCACAACAAGTGTTTGTTTTAAACGGGAAACAGTCCACTAATACAGAGCACATGGTGCAAGAAAATGTGTCTCTATTTTTTTTTATTACATATAACAATTTTTCACATACTTACAACAGTCCCAACATATTTAGTTTTCTTAATTACCCCAGTGACCTGGTAGCTCCTTATTTCCAGCTTTCTAGTCTTGGCAGTCTAATATTCATGTTCCCATAGTGACAGTAGTCAAACGATGGTAGAAAAAGTCCACTGTAATTTTATCCAAAAGTCACATTTAATATTTGTGACCAAAATCCCGTTCAGAAGCATTCATTTTGGCGCCCGCAGAGGTCACTTCCATGTCTGCACAGTTAATTATTTCCCGACCTTTGACACTGCTTGTGTATGAGCCGAGAATTAAAAAGGCGCATTCTCAGCACCCTGAAAAAGGCAAGCAGAGCGCGGTGCGCGCGTTGAATATTCAATTAGAGAGGGGGGCAACAGAGGAAAAGTGAGGCTGCGTGCCAGTCCCTCATCTTACATTACTGATTAGCTGTTAAACAGATTATATACAGCTGAATGGGTTCAAATGTTGCAGCAGAAAACAGTCGGAGTTCAAGGAAAGGCGAGCGGTTTCCTTCCCTGCCACTTCAGCCGGCTGAACACACATTGTCACGCTAACAGCTCCATAATGAAACATGTTGCTGTTCCATTTTTGCCACTTTAACCGCAGTCATTTTGAAAAAAACACCGAGAGCAACTGAAACTGTTTCAGTCCATAGATGCAGGTGGGATTGTTTGGATGATGCTGCACCAAAATGTGCAATAAAATACCTCTTATACAGATTATGAACCGAATTCATATTCTAAATTGCCTTCCCCGTGTTAATGTAAAAGTAAAAACTTCTTCAATTCATAAAAACACACTACTATATTTGCATCAGTAATATGTTTCCTTCCAGTAGACAATATTATTTTGCGAAAAACACCTGCACGCAAAATAAAAAACGTCACCACACACTATATAGAAATAAATGTGAAGATAAAAGTGCATTAAATCATCAAATGCGTGTTAAAGAGAAGATCCTCTTGAGAATAGTCTCCTCTCTTCCAACAATAACTCAGTACTCGACATTTACAAACCAGATTGGAAGCCTGGAGCAGCAGGCGTTTGTCCTTTAAAAGTGAGTAAACAAACAGGTTATAAATGTACTAAAGTGATTAAAAGTTTATTAACAGTTTTGTTAAAGTTAGCAGGTTAACATCTTAGGTTTACTAAACACATTTACTAAGCTGGATAAGTTTAAAGTAGTTGAATGTGCAGTGCCACAGCAAGCCACGCGGGTCCAAAAGAGCTCTCATTGAGAAGCCACGTGTCCGTTTCCAAAGCCTCTCCAACTTAACCACCTCCTTTGTACGACTAACCCACATCGGCAGCGTCCCTCCACATAAAGGGATTTGCAATTTCAAGATATTTCAGCTTAAATGTTTTTGACAGTTCCCTCGCTTTTACCTCGGCTTGGTTATTTTAACTGTGCCAAATGGGTCACCTTGGGTTGCTGTCTGCGCGCAAAGGGCTTTTGCGCGCATTCAGTCTGAATTTTTTCCAACTTTCCTTGACGGGGAAACCAGCTGCTGGTCGTGAAAAGACGGCTTATTAATTGTCCTTTGTCATGCAGAATTGCTTGATTTCTAAAGAAACGTACAAAGGCTCTTTTTCAGGATTCAAGTATTTTGTTTCGTGCGTATTTTCAAACCATCGAATCAGCTGCAGCGCCGCGCCGTCTACCAGACTCTCAGGTACTGACTGCCTGCTCCCTTTGTCCCCTTTTAATGCTGTTGTAAATCGTGCAGACTGATTTGTTACAAGCTGTTCTTTTAATCTGATAGATAAGAGACATGTCAAAGAAAAGCCGTAAATAAAAAATTAGCCAGAATAAAGACAAGGGCGAGTCTGCTAGATGGGCGCCTGTTGACTCAAGCGGCTCTCCAGCGTCAGGGGAGCCCTCTCCTCAGCTCCGTCAAGGTTACGTCCACAATTCCCTTTTCTTCTTTTTAAAAAGACACCGTAGTCCTTTTTGCTTCAATGAATTGATCGGCACAAAATTAAGAATAAATAAATTGAGCATTTGGAGCACCGAGCGTATAAGCTCCCCCAGGGCGCATACCCCCGGGCTATTGAATGGATAAAGGGCGCTTTGCAGAGGACGTTGTGAGCAAAATGGGGCTCTTTGGTGCAATTAACAAAATAGTCTAATCCCATATCTTAACAAATGCAAATATTAGAGTTTTGTTAAAATGGTTAAGTGAACAATTAAATGAAAGTTTACAAGTGAAACTTCACATCCAAAAAAGGCACACTGATGCAGATAATGTGCTGTACGCAATTTAAGAACCGTTTTTACTCCCTTTAAAAAAGTCCAAGATACGTTTCTAAGGAAGCAGATATTATTTAAAGCCTATTCAACGTAAGAAATATAATTTTGAGAGCCAAAGCTTCAGTCAGAGAGCAGCTGTAGCGGTGCGTAAAAGAGGCGAATAAAACTGGAACTATAAGCTAAACGCCTGGTTTGGTCTTTTTGGAGATGTTTTATGATCAGATGACATATTTTTAACTTAAGTATAAATATAAATATACTCTTTTTACACTAATTTGAACCAGAATAGCTTACATAAGTCCTAAAAGGGTGGATTTATTTTTGAGGATGCTGCGTATTATCTGACTTGGCATATTATTTTATTTTGTACATTTAATGATTTGCCATAAAAGTCACATTATATGCTAATGACTAATTATGTTTTTTTTTATTTAAGATTAATATTGGCTGAGTTGAAGAGGCTTCTATTGGGTCTAAAACCCACCTGGAGCTCATAAAAACGGCAATAAACTTGCCCACACTGGTGCGTTAACAAAAAGAACAATATGGGTCATGGACAACAAACTGTCTTTTCCTCATTTATGTTGATGTTAGATCGATATCTTAAGATATGCACACTCCTGATGCACCATTATACACCCACAGTGATTATTAACTCAGTCACACGAGACGGATCATTTCAGCTGGGATGAAACTTGAAAGGGGCCCCAAAGTGCCAGGCAGTGATATCTGGTTTGAGTGTCCCCCAGGGAAAGCACATAAAGGGCCCCCATAACAATGTCTTTATCACCTCTAAGTGATAAAGATTACTGAGCATTTGATTTACTCGTCCAGGATGGAGTTCAGCTCATGTGGCCTAATGAGCTCCTTCTAGATACACACACACATTTGGTCTATTGAGGCAGTGCAGGCTGAAAATTACTTTTGTCATTCCCAATTTTCTTTTGAGCAAAAATAATGAACCTTGTCAATCACTTTTTTTAGTCTTCTCCTCATAGCCTGAACACCAAACACCCCTTACGCACAGCTGCTTTACCTTTATGTAGAAGAATATTAAAATACATATTTTAATTTGCCAAAGAAACTGAGTCTTACGTCTGAAATGATGGGCTGCACACGTTTCCACATACAGCGCAGCCAGGGAGAGTTTATATGTGTGGAGATGCATTTCATTGTAACATTTGACCAAAGACTATCACACACATATTTACCGTCATCTGATTGTCTTCTCACAGCATCTTTTTTAATATGATTTAATGTCCAAACTTCTAATATCAACGAGAATTTACGCGAGCCGCTGTGCGCTCTCAATGCTGCGCAAAGACCAAAAATATTTAACTCACATGACAACGTAGTCTGCGCTCAGAAATATTTTTTTATTTAAGTATCAACATTTTTAAATAAATAAATATTTTTCAATTACACTGAAGATATAATTTCAGAGTGATTTCAGCAATGTGACATTGAGGGAATTTCTCTCCAGCTTTCCATATTTTAAGTCACAGTTCCATCCACATAGAATGAATCTAACCAGTATAGTCACCATGTATACAAAATACTGTGTTCCCCAAAATACTAATAAACAATGTTGCTATTGTTTTTTTGTTTTTTGTCATTTGGGTTTGTCTTTACAAATATGCCTACCATACTCATCGGATTGGCAACAACAAATGGACCGTTTTCAGAAAAAAACTACATACAAAACGTACAACATGTATACAGCTATACAATAATTCAGGGCAATTCCCTGATTAAATATTCTCTTTCTATGTACAGACGACTGAACGCAAGTGGATCAGTCTTTTTTTGGCTGTATTCAAAATCATGAGGACCAAAATCTTTCAGATGGGAGGTTGGGGGGAGAGTTCAGGGGGAGACCGACAGGTCCACGTCCTCTTTTTCGGACGAGGAAGGAGATATGGGAATGTCGTCCTCCTCTTCCTCCGAGCATCTCGCGGTTGACAGGGATGAGCATTTGCAGTTATGTGATCCAGTCCTTTGGCCGCTGCTCTTGCCCTCCTTTTTGTGCTTCACTCTGCGGTTCTGGAACCAGATTTTCACCTGTTTCTCGGATAAGTTCAGGTATGTGGCGATCTCGATGCGCCTCAGTCTGGAGAGGTACATGTTGGAGGTGAACTCTCGCTCCAGCTCCAAAAGTTGCGTGCTGGTGAAGGCGGTGCGCATGCGCTTGCTGCTCTGAAGTTTGCCGTTGGTGTTTTCTGTAAAAAACAAATAATAAGAAGAGAGTTGGTCAGCCACAGTTTATATTATAAAAACAAGTGAAATGTGGCTTTGTCTACACGATCAAACGTTAACTCAGCCTCTACTCACCGATGGAGATGCAGTGGAACTGTCGCGGGTCTGGGACTGAGTACGCAGCTTGGTATATCCCCGGTGCGTGGCTGAGGTTGACGCTGTTAGATGAAGAGTGTTGCCTCGACAGAGCTGAGTGACAGTACTGTGAGCCGAAGGCAGGAAAAGACGCCTTGAGGAGCGGCAGCGTCGGTGGAGACGGGTGGAGCTGGGACGCGGTCATGCACAGCGGACAGAAGCACAGCAGCCCGGCTTTCCTGGAGTGGCAGGAGCCCGGCAGCCCGTGCGGGTGGTGCGGCGAGTGCAAGGCGTACGGGAATAAAGGTGGGTTGTTCTCGTTCCCTTTGTCGTTGGCCTCCCTTAAAATCAAGGAATCCACGAGAAAAGATCGCGGCATGTTTGCAAACTTGTTGCTCAGTGTGGTCGAAGTTGAAGCTGGCGCGTCGTCGTGTCAGCCTTGCTCTCCTCGGGACGGTGGACAGCGAAGTGGTGCTGAAGGCGCACCGACGCTCCTTAAATAGCCGCCGTGGACTCGGTTCGGCCATGTGACGGTTACGCTGTAAGCGGCCAAGAGCTCTCAATAGGGTTTTGTGCCTTTCTCTCGGCATTCCCACTGCACGCTTCCCCATTATTTCACTTGTTAACTAAATGAACTGCATAATGTAGTCTATTCTTGTCAGCCCCACCCACGCCGCAAGAGGCGGCACTGCCCATTCTCCCTTTTATCATCACTCTCATTTTATCATAGAGCAGAGCTTAAATGTGCGAGAGAAAACGTTTTTGCCACATTCGGAAAGCCAGTGTGTGTATTCAAATTTTGTCTTAGACATTAGGGCAGCCTATTAGGTGTGTGTGTGTGTGTGTGTGTGTGTGTGTGTGTGTGCGCGCGCGCGCATATAGTCTTAATTGAGTCTGTATAACCAGGGCAAGCGGGAGAGAACACTGCTGACAACTTCCAGAAACACTTACAACTCTTAATGTACATTTATCATTAATAACAGCAGATCAATGACAGAATCATTTAATTTAAATTAAACCTTACTGTGCCTGTATCTGGCGAGGGTTGTTATCAGTTGCATTTGCAGCCCGCATACATTCAACTTTTGCCTCTTATGAACTGTTTGTGTGTCGCTGTGGTTAATGATTTTGTGTATCTTTATGCATCCGGACGAGTCTCCTGCACCTGTGTGGCTACTCCGCTGACAGTGTTGAGCGCAAACATAGCAACAGCTGAATGTAAAGTTTATGCATATCCATTTTAAGGTTAATGTGTCATTTCTGGGCACAAAAAAGGGACAAGTCATTGCCTGAAGGCAGTGCTGTTAAAGAGCAGTGATTAATTCCTTTGCTCGGGCCCCTGCCGAGTCGGGGGAAAGAATATGTAAAAATAACCAGGTTTTCACTCTGCGGCCCTTATTGAATGTCATTGTGGAGGGTTTTCAATAAGAGAGAAAGAGAGTCGAATTAAAGTGTGTGACAGCGGCGGATAGACGCAACAAAGGCGACTCTGTCATAGAGGAGCCCAGTGCGCGGCGCGTGAAGCCCCCGCCTCGCGCTCTGATTGAATTAAGTAATAGGAAAACATTTTCTTTCACTTTAAGGCTCCGAACAAGACCTTCAAAGGGAACGGGAGCCGTAATGTGTGAGTAAATAGTGGAATGTGATTTCTCTTCCCTGTCGAGTTTTTCCTCTTCTCTCACACACCCGAAAAAAATAGTTGATCTCTTCCAAATAAATATTGCTGATAAATATGACATCACACACGGCACCCAACGCCTGGCGACGTTGTGCCCGACGGAGCACCCAGTTCCTGCACAGCTCCGGAGTTCAACCTGTCTCTGCTTTATTACCCTCACTTTCTGTGCACTGTTGGAGGGTTGTCTATTCAATTATTGACAGGGGTGGTGGAGGGGTTGGGGGGGGCTGTTCAGGGTTTATTGTTTACATGTCATCTGCTTTACAGGCATTATTTCCCATAAATTGTCACGTCCGGTGAATTACCTCTTCAGTTCTGAAAACATGCACATGCCGGTGTGATGCTATCTGTTTTCTCCTCATAAAAGAGGCCTAATGTGCTCAGCTTCACATCACTAATCCTCCATAAAGGCTAGACCTGTAATTAGGCTGCGCCATTAAAGTAGCTACAAATTAGGAGCAGTTAAACCCTTTAACGACACAAAATATCTGTCCGGATGACTGTTATATCTGCGAGAGCCATTTTCATTTTTGTGTCCTTTCATTCCCTGCCAGGAATTAGCCATTAACTAGTCCGTCAATCTTGCTGCACTCTCTGAAACCTGTAAATACAAATGTATCGCTTTTATTCCGGTTCTTAATTAGGTAATCAGTTAATGACATGTTTTCATCAGAAGTTAAAAGCGCTATTACTGTCATGAAGAGTTTGCCAGATCATGTGCTTAAGCTCAAAATAAAATAGGCAAAATGTGTCACTTTTGTCCCCCCCC